GTACGAATACCCCCATCTCTAGTCTTAATTCATAGGATTGCTGTAATTCAGCAACAAGTTGACTGCACACATTTTTTTTTCTGAGAGCTGCCCAGAAAATTATGTTCTTGACTGGTTAATACAAGTAATAATAAATAATTGTGTGCCATCAAATAGATTCCGACTTATGGTGACTCTTTCCGGGTTTTTCTAGGTAGAGAATACAGTGGTGCCCCTCATAGCGAGGTTAATCCGTTCCGGATTAACCCTCGCTATGCGGAATCGTCGCTAAACGGGTAGGGAAAATGTATTGAAACACATTAAACTTAGTTTAATGCGTTCCAATACCTTGCTTACTTACCCGTTCAGCGAGGATTCCCCTTGCCGGCAGCCATTTTCGCGCCCTCGCTAAGCGAGGGCAGGGCGTGAAAACGGCTGCCGGCAGCCATTTCCGGGCTTCCAGCGGCCATTTTGGAGCCGCCGAACAGCTGTTCGGTGGCTCCAAAATGGCCGCCGCAATACCCGATCTTCGCAATGCGGGTTTTCCCCATTGCGAAGATCGGGTATGTTTCCGTATAGCGATCACGAAAAAGGGATCGCTATACGGAAACATCGCTATACGGTGCACTCGCTAAGCGAGGCACCACTGTATACAGAAGCAGTTTACCATTCCTTTCTTCTGAGGGTCCCACGGGATTGTGCAGCTTGCTCATGGCTACACAGGCTAGCTTTCTTTCCCCCTAGGAGGCCCAGTGGGAATCAAACGCCTGTCCTCTGACTCTGCAGCCAGATACCTAAACCACTAAACTATCCAGCCAGCTCATTTAATATAAATACCACAAATAAATAATTAGACAAATAAAACCTCTTTCTAAAACATGTCCACAAATCAATAGCTACTCTCAGCTAGTCAGTGGAAAGCTCTCTGAGTTCTAAATCTACCATGTTTTTGTTTTTCTACACTCCTCCCTAGAAGATCCATTTTCTCCGTAATTAAGATGAGAGACTAAAGATTAATCGAGATTAAGAAATTAGGATTAATCACCATCTCACATCATGCTAATATGTTAGATGTATTTTGCAGAGATAGTTCTTTGCTTGAGAAAGGCAGTGCATTTCAGTATATAAAAGTCTCTGTGTATGAACAGCCACCATCCTGAAATAAGAACCAACTACAAGCTTGTAATAGAAGGGTAAAGTGCTACTCTTTGTAGTATAGCTGCCTTTGTAATTTCACTTGCCAGTATTGAACCCCTTAATTATGATACATGGTCTGCTATTATAATGGCCATAGCCATATAGCTCAGTATGTTGCACGAATGAATGTTACAAGAGTTGTGTCAACTCCTGTAATAGTCTTAACTGATGAGTAATAATGTCACTTTTTTGGACATACTTTTAAAAAGGTGTGTGAAAACCAGCACCAGCTGCTTTTACCGTGTGCAATAAATTTAAAGATCCAACTCCATGCATCACTTCAAATCTGTTCTAAACATGCTCTTCTTGACAAAGCATATTCTTCAGAAATTCTGGCTCAGGCAGGGGAAAGCTGTGACTATGGCATCAAAGCCCTGGTGGTTGCATTTCAGCCTTTCCTGCGTGTCGTGATTAGGACAAAACATTGCACAGTGCATGAATTATCCCTATTTTCATATGACCTGTTTTCAAGCTTTATTGGCCCAGCGAATACCTTGGTATCCTATAAAGCCTGATTTGGGGTTGACCAGTTTTCTTGATCTAAAAATAAATCCGCCTTTTAGTCTTCAGAGACTTAACAGCTCAAGTGTAATATATGGTAAACTATTGGAGCACTATGGGTCAGCTATCCATACCGCTCACACCTCTCAGGCCTTGATGTTGTGGGTGGCCACTCGGAGGGAAGCCAGAAAGTCCATGATCAGGAATCGGGCCCTCTCAGTGTTGGCTGCCTCCTTGTGGAACGCTCTACCTTTAGAGGTGTGCCAGGCCCCTTCCCTCCTAACATTTAGAAAGCACATGAAAACATTGTGTTTCCCTCCCTTTATAACTGTTATTTATTTTTATTTATCCTTATCCATGGATTTTACTTTGTATTTTGTGTCCGTTGCTGCCATTTTGAGTTCTCAGGAGTGTTGCTCTCCTTTTGATATTTTTGTGGTTTGGCGGGCAGATTGCATTTTTTTTCTTTCCTGTTCCCCTTTGTTGCTGGGAACCGCCCAGAGTCGTGGCATGACACTGGATCACGTAAAATAAAATAAACAAATTATGAACATATTATTGAACAGCTGGATAGCTCTGTGGTTTAGGTAACTGGCTTTGGAGCCGGAGGTTGGGAGTTCGATTCCCCACTGTGCCTTCTTGAAAGGGAGCTGGACTCGATCATCCATAGGATCCCTTCTAACTCTGCACTTCTAAGATGGTGATGATAATAACGATAACACATCCAAGAGAGTATTCTGAACTGTTCAGGTGTTCAGTATGAAAGCATATAAGTACATCTCTCAGGTTGACGCGGACAGGGCTGGTCATGTAGGTGTTGACCGCTAGTCCTCAGAGAAATACTGTAAGCATTAATGCTATCGGTGTGAAGGTCTGGACAGGGCTGGTCATGTGGACCCTTGACTTACAGATGGCTTGACTTACAGACTTTTTGAGTTACAGACTTCTTTGGCCGCAAAATTTAGGTTTGACTTGCAGACTGAGATTTGACTTACAGACCAGAAAAAAACCAAAATGGAACAAAAACGGCCTGTTACGGGATTAATCGGTTTTCAATGCACTGTAGGTCAGTGGAGACTTGACTTACAGACTTTTTGACTTGAGAACCGCCTTCCAATACGGATTAAGTTCTCAAGTCAAGACCCCACTGTAGGTGTTGTCCGCTAGTCCTCAGAGAAATACTGTAAGCATTAATGCTATCGGTGTGAAGGTCTGCGTGGCCGTTTGTGATCACATTCGGCTCAACACACTTGCGGTGATCATACAGTCCCTAATGCTGAATGCACAAAGTTGTGCACAGTTTTCAACTGGGGGGAATGGTGGAGAATAATTGCCTCTCTGAGTCATCCCTGTCTTTAAGCTGTACACGCTGTCCAACTGAACACCCGAAGAGGGCTTTGGTTACATAGGGTTTCCAACAGATAGAAGTTTGAATACTATCGATAGCTTTGCATTTCACTAGATGATTATTTTTTACTTAAGCTTTGGCATTTAAAAATCTCTAGGCATGAGTTTCATCACTGTGTTAGTAAAAAAAGAAGAAAATAACGATCTTGATGACCTTCACCAAAGCACTTAATAAAATGCTCCCCCCCCCAAAGCACTTAAGTCAAGTGCATCTTGACATTTGATGGAATATCACCAGTTACAGGCCTGTCTTATATGTGCTAGTGCTTATGATTGTAGAAGTTGGTGGTGGAAGAGTTATTGAGCCAGTGCAGTGTAGTGGTTAGAGTGTTGCGATGGAATATCACCAGTTCCAGGCCTGTTTTATATGTGCTACTGCTTACCATTCTAGAATTTGGAGGTGGAAAAGTTATTGAGCCAGTGTGGTGTAGTGGTTAGAATTAGGACCCAGGAGAGCTGGGTTCAATTCCTTGCTTGGCAGTGGTGAACCTGTCTATAAACATTTCATGTACCTTGAAAAGCCTGTGATTAGGACCCAGGAGAGCTCGGTTCAGTTCCCTGCTTGGCAGTGGAAACTTACTGCAGGTTGGCACTGGTGAACCTGTCTGTAAACATTTCATGTACCTTGAAAAGCCTGTTCGGTTCACATAATCCATACCAAATTATATCATAAACAGAAAAGAGGAAAGTGAGAAAAAAGCTAGGCAGGTAACACTGGCAAATTGAAGAAATGAAACATTACAAAATATTGGAGCATCCAAGAAACCTTCAGAACATAAATTAATTAAATCATTTTTTTAAAAAAAGTCTGTTCACAGGACAGATTCTAAAAATCATGTCTTGGCTTAAGAAGCTGCGATGCACTTAAGCCTTTTTTTTGGCAGTGCGTTTTCCTACTTCATGCTGCCTGTTTCTTCAGCACACCACAGTTAAACTTGGGAAGTTCAGTTGTTTGAATAAGGTTTGCTTAATTGCAGACTTCCAGATTTAATTGCAGGGTATTGGGAAAGGGCACCACGAGAAGAAAGTATGGGGCACATGGCTTATGCATATCTCAATTTTATGAAATGGAAACATGACTGCCTGAACAGGGACATAGATTCGCGTGCTTCTTCTCACAGTGGATACACTACTTAGATGGATTCTTTTCTCATTTTCACACGTACACATCTACCTGTTTCTTTATGTATATATATATATGTATTTATGTGTGTGTGTGCCGATCTGATTCATGTAATAGTTTCTTATCAAGACAGTTAGAGAGATATTTGATTGTGTATGTCACGCCTGCTTGTACAACCCAACTTCTGCCTAAAAGTTAATTTTAAAAGCAGATTTAAAAAAAATTAACCATGTTGCAATCACCTGCCATGCTAATTTGGCTGCACAGTGGTTTGTGCTTAAAGCTGTTTTAACAGAAATTCAGGAGACGTGTGGATTAAAGTCTGACATAGTAATTAATGTTAAGGATCATTCAACTTGCACTTTGGGTGCTAAAGTCAGATTCGCTTCTGGATATAATCTAGATACATATTTGATTCTTTTACATTTTTATATGTTCTTGTTTGTTTTGCTTTATTACCATTTTCTTTCTTTGTAGGCCTATAAATGTTGTCACTTGAAGGCTTAAAAACAACAACAAAAAACCAATTTGCAACATGGTTTGTCCAGACCTAGACGTCTTTAGTATTCTCTTGCTCAGCTCTGTAGATCTTGTACCTAAATAAAGATACGGAGGATTGCCGTAAAAGACCTCTGATTCTTCATTATCCTGAATATCATTGCAGCATTGGCACCTTGCAATAAACTCTTCAGCTTCTGCTCTGTAGCTCTGATTCCCCTCTAATTGCTAATGATCTCTTAGAAAATATCAGTATTTTCTAATGAGTCTTCTTTCTCCCCCCCTTTTTTTTTAGCCAAGAAGAGTTACCTGTCCATGATGCAGCATCAGAGAGGGTAAGTTGTCCAGCTATCATGTAAATTGTCAGTGAATGTTTTAGGAAGACTCTGTGCTGTAGCACCTCTGAAGCAAAGTGGGTGCAAATGTATAAAATTTGTGTAACACAAACCAGTGAATGTTTGAAATCCCATGTACTCAAACTGAGTATTTTGCTCAGTGTTGCTCTCTCTGTCCTGACTGGGGGTGGCTTTCCAAAGACTGACGGCAACAACCAGTTCAGAAAGGCCCCTCCCTGCCAAAACCTCTTAAAGGGGTCATTTGAGTGTGCAACGTATCCAGCAGTCATTATTAGCCCACAAGTGGGTTCCTATAGAGTTGCACTGATCAAGTTAGCATTTTCAAAGTTCCATTTCACCCTTTTTATACTTTTAGACTCTGGGGATTTGGGATTTCAACTTTCTTTACTTAGTAATTTGTGGTCTAAACTTAATCATGCCTCTGTTATTATTGCTCAAATGGCGAGCCTGGCCTCCTCTGAAGAAATAAAACCAAATAAATAAAGCTCATTGGCCCAAATCCCGTTGCTTAGTTACACCTGGGGAAGGCAACTGGCATAACTTTCAGTCGCTTATTATTGGCAAGCCATACAAACCCCTGCTGGGTTTTTCATGTGCACACTAAGTCAACAGGTGGGCGTGCATCCAAGAATCCCAGCGAGGGACTCATTAATTGAAAGTTATGCCAGTTGCCTTCTGCAGGGCATAACGACGGACGTTTTTGGCTTTTGGGTTGAATTTAGATGGAGGCATGCTCATAGCAGATCCACTGAAATTAATGAAATTATATGAAGCCTTTACTGTCTAACAACAACGGTGAAGTTCTGACATATGAATATCCCGGTAGGGTTTTCTAGGGATAAAGTGCTCAGAAGCAGTTTACTGGGGTCTCCTTCTAATGGTGCTCCAGAAACAGTGTATGACTTGCTCAAGGTGATCTCAGTTGGTTCCTCTTCTAGCAAGTGCAACAGGGTTTGAATTCCTGACTCCTGTTTCCACAGCGAGTAACAACAACAGTGAAGTTCTGACATATGAATATCCCGGTAGGGTTTTCTAGGGATAAAGTGCTCAGAAGCAGTTTACTGGGGTCTCCTTCTAATGGTGCTCCAGAAACAGTGTATGACTTGCTCAAGGTGATCTCAGTTGGTTCCTCTTCTAGCAAGTGCAACAGGGTTTGAATTCCTGACTCCTGTTTCCACAGCCAGACATTCCAATTTACTGAGCTCTAACAGTTCTGATCCTGTGCTAAGTCTCATTAATTTCACGGTGTCTGCTCCAAATGTGACTGTCAGAGTCCAATCAGATATCTGTGCATGCCCCAGACTTTCCTTCCTTTGGTTTCCAATGAGTCACTTGCATTTTGGATGCCTATGTCAACTTTTTGCATGTATAATCTTATAGTAATTAATGTGCTCAGCCTTTCAGAAACGATGAAATTAGGGCTAGACACCAATGTTTTTTAATGTTGAAATAGTTACAAGGTGTCATTGTACCTGAACAACCTAAATGTATTTGCTTTAATTATGCAGTGGAACATTCCCATGGCCTGTAGAACACAGTCCGGCAGATGGGCACGGTAGCAAATAGGGGACGACCACTGGTCTTTCAGAAGTGTTGCAACTTCTTAACGCTTTCGTCAAGAACGTATAGCTTCTAAACATGAGTCATCATAGTCATGAAACATTTTATGAACAAAAGATAACCCTGTTGTTACTTAGAAACTGCAACTTCAATTAATATAAGTTCTCTTCTCAGCATACTTGCTAGTTAACGTTTAGAACTCTAAAAGAAACTCCTTATTACATGACTTTGCAAAAAAAACCCAAATTACTTGGTTGAACATGACTGGTACTGAGCTTGATGGACCGACGCAAACTTTCCATAGTCATTTATCAGCAGGAGAAAAGATTATGGTATACGTAACAGTTCTACTTTATTGAAGTGCCGTGAAGTACTCAACAGTTGCTGGAATGATGTCTACCCTACATTAACTTGTTGCTGTTTGGTATTGCTTAACATGCAATGCAGTCCCATGATTAGGCCTGCAGTGGTATTTAAACTAAAACTGTCTCCTAAGGGTGTGACAGAGGAACAGCACGCATAACACATTTTTATGTTTATTAAGATGCTCAAGACCTGTCTGTTCTTATATAGGAGTTACTTTCAAGTTTTATGTACCATAATGCTATTTACTTTGCAAAAAATATTTTTGTACACTCTGCAACAATAGTACAATCATGGTCCCTATGATTGTACTATTCTAAACTTTAGAGAAGGGGTGGGGAATTTGGCCAGGTTCAGGGGCCAGTTTTGTGCCCCAGGATTCTCTGGGGTCACACGGACTGCAAAAAAAAAAGTGGAAAAAGCAAAAACCCAGCAGAATGGCCAGATGTTCAGTCTGGAAAAATTGTAATTCCAGTGTCAAGACACTTCAGAGCAGCAAAGCAGTTCGTAACCTGTTTAAAAGATGAGTCACTGTTCCTGGAGGTTTGAGGAATGACTGTTTGCTCTAAAAACGAACACTTGGTCGGAATGGAATAGGACAGAGAGAAGTCGAGTGGGGGTACCAAAAAATGACTTTGGGAGGTCCTATGTGGGCAAGGCCGGGCAAATTTCAATAGTCCAGGGGGCTGCTTTTGTAACTCCCTACTTTTTGTAACTCCCTACCTAGCCAGAATTCTTTTCCTAGAAAAATTGGGATTGTTTTTCTGCACTGTAGAAATCTCCTTGAGCATACAAAGCATTTGGCTACCCTACATGGCTAAGTCAGAACCAGCTCCCCTCATGATTCTGGCCGCCCCAAAAGTTTGACCTTCCCTAGAGAAAGTTGAGAAGTGAAGAAGAATAACCTTCTGTGCATCTTGAGGCAGACTCATTCAGCTTTCCCTTATCCTGCCCAGTCTTTTTCTTCTGGGGAAGGTTGGCTGAGTCAGGGAGTGCCTGCTTTGGTTTCTGCTGGTTAAAGACAGTAGAAACCATTGTTCTCTCTCCCTCCTGTGGGAAAATTTTTTTGGCTGGAACAAGCTGTGGTAAGCAATGCAGCCTAAATGCAGTAGCGCACATGTAGGCATCTGAGCCAAGCCCTCTCGTTCCAGCCCGATCTTTTCCAAGATAAACATCAGGCAGAGTCTACACAATAAGAAAGGCCAGTTGGGGTTCCCTTGGGTTCCTGTGTGGCCGGGACATGTCTACAGAAGTACTGAGGAACAATTTGCCTTTCTCCCAACTTTGAAACTGGAGATAGGATCTCATTATGCACCTACCTGTGTCTTTATGCAACGGTGTGTCTTGCATTTCCACTTTCAGAGTTGGGAGGATGGATGGACGGATGGCTAGCCATCATTCCCTCCAGCGAGGAGCCCCACGCTTGCTGTGGTGAGCAGATTTATTGATGCTTGGTCATGTGTCATCAGAGTTTACCCTCATTCCTCAAAATGCCTTCAAAATTATATTACACACATACGGTGCAAAGTGCATTGGTAATTTTTAAAGTCTTAAAAGTGCTCGGATTCCAAAAGTTCTCCTGTATGGAGAATTAGTGCAGGGAAAGCACCCCAGAGGGAGACCCCAGCTGCGATACAAGGATATCTGCAAGTGGGATCTGAAGGCCTTAGGAATGGACCTCAACAGATGGGAAACCTTGGCATCTGAATATTCAGCCTGGAGGCAGGCGGTGCATCACGGCTGCTCCCAATTTGAAGAGACCCTTGTCCGGCAGGCCGAGGCAAAGAGGCAGTCACGAAAGCAGCAAAATCAGGGAGTTGGACAGGAGACAGATTGTATTTGTCTTCAATGTGGAAGGGATTGTCACTCTCAAATTGGCCTTCTCAGCCACATAGGACGCTGTTCCAAGACCTCCATACAGAGCACGTTACCATCGTCTCTCGAGACTGAAGGATTCCTACTAAAAGTGGGCATATTTTAGCTGTTCTGGATAAAGTAAGATGGGAATGTAAAGCAAATACATTGTTATCTTGTTTAAAAGGTATCATTTCAAATCTGATTTGGCTTAAATTTATATACAGGCTCTATCAACTAAGTAGTATGTTTAACTACTTTTTCTCTCAAGCCAACTGAACTGGCCAGATTCAACCGGTGAAATAACATTGTCTTAAAAGAGAAATGTCATTTCAAATTTTGCATTTGAGTTGAAATACTTACCAATGTGGTAAACACCTTGTTGAGCTTGTATATGTTTTCGGAGCTGAAAAAGTTCTTTGGTGCATGTGCAGTAGAGAGAATAATAGTCTTGTAATTCTGTTTTCAGCAAAAGCAGCTGGAAATTGAAAGAACTACAAAATGGCTGAAGATGTTGAAGAGCTGGGAAAAGTATAAGAACACGGAAAAGGTAGAGTCCAGTTTACATAGTCACTCTTAATTATTTAATTTAATTTAATTTAATTTAACTTATCAAATTGGCTGTTGTAATGTTGAGCCCGTACTTTTTTTCTTGTTTCATAGCATTTTCAAAATAACAACTGGACAAAAAAGATGGCTTGCTGAGAATTCTATAAAACTTAATTCAGTAATACGCTTAAATGCAAGTTACACCAGTAAGCAGAGTCGTAAAACGGAATAGGAACACTTTCACAGCAAAATGCACAAAAACGATTTCATTGCCAATTGAAATAACTCCTAAATCAGATTCACATTAGGTAACAATTATTGAATGACAAAGCCGAAAGAACACTGTGCTCTATTTTAAATGGTCAGCATTTTCAGTTTCCCAAGCAGATACTGCAAGCTACTTCTTTCCAACCGTGTTAGATTCTAGTTGGACTTTAAAGCAGCTAGATCGAATGTAGATTGGTGTATTGGATTCTGTTTACAAGGCTCCATCATTTCAGCCATGTCTGAGTAGAATGTCTAAAAGGTAATAGGATGACCATAAGCATTTTACATATTGCAAAGCGTGCAGATCCTGTTAAAGAAGCCAAGGAGATGAAAAGCAGTGCATTTAGTAGGGCCAGTTTATCTGGTTGAACAGAATAGCTAAGATTTGAGGGAGTCAGAAGTGGAGGAGCATGGAAATGAGATATCAGACAAGGAGAAGATAGGCTAGAAAAATCACATGATGGCTAGAATCAGAATCATAGAATAATAGAGTTGGAAGGGGCCATTGAGTCCAACCTCCTGGCTCAAGGAAGGAATCCTCATCAAAGCAGATCTGACTGAAGGTTGTCCAATTTTCCCTTGAAGGCCTCCAGCATTGGAGCGCTCACCACCTCCTAAGGTAATTGGTTCCACTGTTGTACCACTAACAGTTAAGAGGTTTTTCCTGACATTCAGCCTAAATCTGGCTCGAGACCATTATCATGTATCCTGTACTCTGGGATGATCAAAAAAAGATCCTCCTCTGCATGACTACCTTTCAGCTATTTGAAAAAGTGCGATCCTCTCTCTCCCCCAGTCTTCTTTTCTCAAGGCTAAACATGGCCAGTTCTTTTGGGCTATCCTCTTGGTTTCCATCCCTTTCTCCTCGTGGAGCTAGCTTTGGTTCTGCTGTTTTTGGTGAAAGTCTACTGGAAATGGAGACTTGGCATAGTGGGAGGTATACCCAAGTTCTGACTTGGTCATGTTTCCTTTTGCAAAGTGGAGGTAATCCTATAACTAAGCTTTGTTTAATAGCTTTCCTTTTTTTTTACTGGGTAGGAAGCATAAAGAAGAGAGCATAAGCTGTCTCCATACTTAATTGTCTCCATCTATGGGAGCATGGGGGCATCTGTAGCTTGAACAATTTCCTTCATCTCTCCTTTGAACTCCCCGTAGGATATTCCATGGAGTACTGAAGCATAGGTTCCCCAAGCACGATGACCAAATTTAGGCATGATCCATTTAACGTCACATTTCAAAATGGACTCTTTGATTGCTAAATCAGCCATTGTATTTGGCGGCGAGTGAATGATAGTTTGTGTAAGAAGAGTTGGGTGTTGGGTGGAAAATCCCTTTTTTCCCAATTTGTGATGTGACCCTTTTTATCTGCAGCTCCTTATTAGATAAAATCTTCGACTGTTTTGTTCTCCCTGCCAGCCTTCTCTACCTTTAATCTCCTCCCCCCAAAAAAAAGAGGTGGAAGAAAAAGATGTATACAATGAGCTTTCACAACCCTATACATCTTGTGTGGTTTTTTGGGGGGGGGCATTTTTCAAAAGTAAGGATATAGTTGGGGTGGCTTTAGCGAGTCTCAGCTTAAACTCCCTATCTGTAAAAGTAATCTATTGTAAACTATTGGTTTAACTTCACAGGACGTCGGAGAGGACAAGCACAATTGAGATTTGAAAGTATTTGCACTTTCTGAGTGCTAAACAAGTACAGTGGTGCCCCGCATAGCGACGATAATCCGTTCCAAAAAAATCGTCGCTATCTGGATTTGTCGCTATGCGGGGAAAAAATCCCATAGGAATGCATTAAAACACGTTTAATGCGTTCCTATGGGGGAGAAACTCACCACTATGTGGAAATCCTCCATGCGGCCGCCATTTTCACTGCCTGGTTAGCGAGGAATCCGGGCAGAAACATAGCGGGTGGCCATTTTCTTTACCCGGTGGCCATTTTGGAACTGCAGATCAGTCGTTTAAAAAAACATCGCAATGCGGAAATTGGTAAGCGAAACGCTTACCGATCATCGCAAGGCTATATTTTGCCATGAAAAACATTGCAATGCAATCGCATTAGCGATCGCAAAAACAACGTCACTATGCGGATTCGTTGTTAAACAGTGCGCTTGTTAAGCGAGGCACCACTGTAAATGATAGAAATAGCTGTGCTAGACCAAGATGCTCTAACTCTCCCTTTTCAGTGTTTTCTTCCATGAGGTATCGCCATTTCTGCTTCTCCGTAAGCCACTTGACAGCTCTTTTGACCTGCATCTTAATCAATTCTGCAGTGCACTGATTAAGGACCGATCAAGCTATCCATCATTATAGGAGGGTTGTTTGTCCTGGTGTGGTCGCAGCATTTAGGAGGCATTGAATAGAAATGTCATTCACGATATTCATATTCAAATAGCTTCATCTCTGTGCTTCTGCCTTTTGCTCTCCCCCTCTCTTTTGGTGGTTGAAAAGTGATCTGAATTGAGAGGTGGAAGACAGAGGAGAACTGACAAGCAGGGTTCGTTGGATATACTTCAGAATTTATTGGGAGAATTGATGTCAGCTATTCTATCTGTTGTTTCCAAAGGATGCATAAAGCTTCTCTGAGATTCTAATGACTTTGGAGCGCAGGTTCCTTTTGCCGTATTTGACCCCAGGTTTTGGCAGAGGGCAGCTCTAGATGGTGTAGAAGCCCCCAGGAGACTGTGGTAGTCATGGGTTCCAACAGCTACTTGCAGAGTGATACCCTTATTCATTTCTCCTTTGTACGTGCTATCCTATGGCTGCATTGTCAGTATGGGTGTATAGCAAGAATAAAAGCAAGCTAAGCATGCATACAATCAAACGTGGGCAATAAAACATAAAAGCAGTGTAAAAACCGATTAGCCCAGGTTCCTCTGAATCTGATATTTATCATTCCCAACACTTGATATAACATCCCAGCCATCCTAAAACATCCTGTTTTATTTCACTCTTCTTGGTCAAGCAGTTCCCATGCATTGTAGACTTTCGTTCAATCAGATGCTGCCACATTCTTTCTGCTAGTGGGGAATGACTCTCATGTGTAGAGGGAATGCTTAAGAGCAGCCTTCCTTCATCCAGTTGTGGACTATGTGCCTGCTTTTTTTCCTAGCCGTCGTGCTAGAAATGATGGGAGTGGTAGTCCAGCACATCTGGAAGAATCCAAGTTGGTGAAAGGTTGGCTTACAAAATTCTTTGAAACTGGAATTAATAGTCCTGTCTGAACAACTTGTGCTCTTAATTCCAATATGTTGTTTATCTATTGCATTTTATACTTAAATTCATCCCATCCCGCCTTTCTTTACTTAAACGCTGAGCATTTGGAATTATAGTTGTTACAGTGGTGCCTCGCTTAACGGACACTCCGTTTAGCGACGAAGATTTTGTGATAGCAAAAGCGATCGCATTGTGATGTTTTAAATGGTTTTTTTTGCCGCTTTGCGGTGATCGGTTCCCTGTTTCGCTTACCGCTTATCGCAAAGCGGTGTTTTTTTTACAGCTGATCGGCGGTTCCAAAATGGCCGCCGGGTAAAAAAAATGGCCGCCCGCTGTGTTTAGGGACGGATTCCTCACTTAAGAGGCAGCGAAAATGGCCGCCGTATGGAGGATCTTCGCTTTAAGGTGAGTTTTTTGCCTGTAGGAATGCATTAAACAGGTTTTAATGTGTTTCTATGGGCTTTTTAAAATCGCATAGCGACGAAATTGCTTACCAGCGATTTTTGCTGCAGGTATTAACGTCGCTATGCGAGGCACCACCTTACTTATGATCACCAACATTCTTCTGAATTGCCTGGGCTCCATATTGAGGCATGCTCTTAGGGTATTGATTTCATAAATTGCGTATGAGTAAATTCAGGTTTCCCTCAGAGTTTAGCAGAGAACTATGGTTCATCCCACATCTATGAAGCACACAACTTGTGAGACCCATGTTTGTAAAAATGTTTGTAATGCTCATAACTTACCAGTTGTAAGCCGCCCCGAGTAGATGTTGTCCCGTGGGGCGGGGTAAAAATCAAATAAATAAATCAATGCTCATAACTTACCAGGTGTAAGCCGCTCCGAGTAGATGTTGTCTAGTGGGGCGGGGTAAATAAATAAATAAATAAATAAATACTTTGGCACATTGCTAAATAATATTTTGGAGGAAGTAATTATTTTATTTTTGAAAAAAAATGCAATACTTTTTAGAGAGCAAGAAGGCTAACTGTTCTTTTAGTTGCTTTGTTCTTTTACTGTGCCCCACAAACTCCCCCCCCTCCCAATGTGTCTTCTCTTTTTTGTTAGTAAGCCTGGTGAAGGAGTCTGTCTCTTCCCTTCATTGATATGAACTGTTTTGGAAGATGGCAGTTGACACAACTCCGGGAGGCAGTGGAAGACAGGAGGGCCTGGCGTGCTCTGGTCCATGGGGTCACGGAGAGTCGGACACGACTAAACACACACACAGTTGTCTAAAAATTAGAATAAAAATAAGAGTATTTTTAAATAAATGTTTTTTTAAAAAAACACTTCCAACTAGAGATGGGCACTTACTCCAGTTCAGTGCACTTCGGTGGATTGGGCCCAAAGGTGTTGTACTGGTGCCCCAGATTACGTGCCCTACCTCCTCTTGTGGGTGCCCCATCAGCAGCATTGCCTTGGACCTCCTATTCTCGCCTCCCCCTCTACGTGGGTGCCCGCAGGAGGAGGCAGGGTGCAGAATCTGGGGCACCTGCACAACTCCTGTGGGCCTGATCCG